GTTGAAGGACAGTTTAGGATCCCAGGGAATGCAGCTGCCAACAAAAACGAGGAGCAAGGAGTGGAAAAAGTTTGGATACAGGAGCTGCAGTGACACAGGATCATTAATCCTGTACCCTCATTAATTATAATGAAGTTGTGTTTTCCTCATCCCCAGACCCTGGTGTATGTGTGGGTTTGGGATTCACTGAAGAGAATTGAACAATTTTGATGCAGAAATAGTGAAATAACTTGAATGATGCCCAGAAAATGAAGAAATCTCATTAATTAGCTTTAAATGCCCAACTATATGTTTGCTTGAAGTCACTGATATTTTAAATCTGAAGCTGTGAGTCCTCCCTGGCTCCTCAGCATTCAGGGGATTCCTTGGATTGGTTCCTAGAAGAACCTGCTGAAGTTGGGGGCATTGCACGAGGAGGAATTGGCTGGGAAAAGGACAGGACTGAACCACAAAAATCCAGCACCAGGCGGCTGAATTTGGGGTGAAGGCTCAAATCAGAGACCTTCCACTTTTCAACATCCAATCTTCAGCCTTCTGGGTGTAAAATTTTGTAAAAGTTGGAGCAAATCATTTTCACCTGCATCCCAGACACTCTTTTAGACACCAGGGCAGCTGCTGCTGCTCCCTCCTCACTGGATCTTTTCCTGGAATAACAGAGATGCTCTTTAGAGAGTGGATGATGCAGGGATTTGCTGGAAAATCATATTAATGGCCACCATTCCCATGTCCTTCCTGGTCCTTGTTCAGACTGTCCTGTCCCCAAAAGCCATATCCTAGCAGGAGGAGTGGCGTGGGTCAAGGATCTGCAGGATTTGGAGGGAGGGAAAACTCCTGCCAGCCTCAGCAGAGGTGTGTGGTGGTGTGGGGATTCACTGGCAGCACCTTGAAATTGGTAGGATTGGAGGGATGGGGGATTCCACCTCATCCCTGCTTGTTTTTGGGTTTTTTTTTACCCAAAATTTAAGGGTTTTGTCCAGAAACAGTGAATGGGGAATTGTTGTTCTTTGGAGATTTGTGTTCTGTCACATCAAATACAGGGAATATTTGGAATCTCCTTGTTCCAGGCCACAGTGATGCCACGATCCAGGCTGCAGGAGGCACACAACTGCACAGATCATCCTCGGGAGCATCCCGAGCCCCTCACCAGGCAGAAACATCGGGGAACTGCCACAATCTGGCCAGAAATCCCCTGGGAATCGGGAGTGGGAACAGCATCCTGGCAGGGCAGGAGCTGGATGAGTTCAGGAGGTTCCTGCAGTACCACCAGGGCCGGCCCGAGGAGGCGGCGGTGCCGTGGTTTATCTGCGCCGAGTGCGGGAGGAGCTTTGCCCGCCACGCGTACCTGCTGCGCCACCAGCGCACCCACGCCCCTCCGAGGGGAAACCCACCCTCCACACCCACCTCGGGATGTGTTCCCACATCATCCACGTGCCACAAACCTGCCTGGGGTAAAGCTTTGCACTCAGCTGCCAAAAATCCTGCTCTGCCCACAGGTGGGGGCTTATAGTCCTGCGTGGATTCGGGTGGAGTTGGGAAATAAGGCGGTTTTGGTGATTCGATTCGCTGCTGGCCTAATGGTCATTGGTTCAGACCTGGATCATTCCTGTTATTCTTACCATGCTCCTCCTTGGAGCAGGAGTCGGACAGGGCAGCGTTGGCTGTACCAAAAGGGGAGTTAAAAAAACAAAGCAACACGTGCTGGAGAGCATCCAGAGTAGCACAGAGAAACACTGCAAGTTTTCAGGGATGAAAAATGAAGATTTGGGAATAGGATTGTAAGATGATGTTTGAGGCAAGAGATTCTGGGCATTATTTCCCCACTTTTGCTGCTTTCCCTTTACTGTACCTGTAGAACTAACTCTATTTTTGGGTTCTGTTTTTATATTGACCCCATGTTTTCCTGTGGGGTGAGATGCTGCTTTGGTTTGTGAAATTCTGGGGGGAAAAACCCATGGATACATTCTCAATGTGTGTACAGTGTGTCAGTGATGTTTCTCTGGGAAGTGGAAATGCAGCAGGGAGAAGGGAGAGGAGAGGAGGGGTGGCCTGTGGAGGCAGCACATGCAGATTTTGTGTTTTCTCCCCACGTGCTGGTGGTTTTCAGCATTTTTGAATATTCCAGTTGAGTGCCAAGAGGGAAAATGTGTTGCCTCCAGTTGGAGGGGTGTCCTCAGTCACAGACTCCATCTGGAATGAAGTCTCTGGGCTCAGCAGCCCCTGAGGAGCAGCAGAGAACACGCAGCTGGTGCTGTGCTGGAGTTCCACAAATTCTGAGCAGGACTGGGAAAACACACGTGGCCCCAAAGCATCCTGCCCCACCCCAGGTACAGGAATAATGTCCCAAAAACATTTTGGCACTGGCTTCTCATTGTTTCCTTCTCCTAAGTGAAGTCCTGGGGTTGGCTTTGCTTTTATTCCTCATAGAATCCCAGATTGGATTGGAAGGGATGTTAAAGCTCATCCCATCCCACCCCTGCCGTGGCAGAGACACCTCCCACTGTCCCAGGCTGCTCCAAACCCTTCCAGCCCGGCCTTGGGCACTGCCAGGGATCCAGGGGCAGCCACAGCTGCTCTGGGAATTCCATCCCAGCCAGGAATTCCTTCCCAATATCCCATCCAACCGGTGGGAGTCATTCCCTGTGTCCTGTCCCTCCATCCCTTGTCCCCAGTCCCTCTCCAGACTGGGATGTTCCAGTGTGGGATTTACTGCTCCCAGCCCCTCACTCCTGAGGGGGCAGAGCTGCTGTGTCAGACCCCACTGCCACAAAGAGTGGGATCTTCAGCAGGTGCCATCCTGGGGATCAAAGCTTCTCCCAGAAGGAACTGACATTCCCAGGGAAGTATCCACCTGCGTGGTAAGAGATGTTTGGAAAATCTTGGGAATAAACCAAGCAAACCCTGTCTGTGCTGGCAGGAGGTGAATCCTGAGATGGAGAAACCTCCGAGGCTGAGGGAGCTGGGAAGGGGCTCAGCCTGGAGCAGGGGAGGCTCAGGGGGAATTTCTGGCTCTGCACGAGTCCCTGCCAGGAGGGGACAGCCAGGGAGGGGTCGGGCTCTGCTCCCAGGGAACAGGAAAATTCCAAATGGCCTCATATTTGGATTGGATATTGGCAAAAACGTCTTCATGAAAAAGGCTCAGCCCTGGGGCTGTGGGGCAGGGCCTGGGCTGTCGCAGCTGTGGGACAGGGAGCGATGACACGGAGGGAAATGGCTGCTCCGGGACCCGTTAACCCTTCTTGTCCCACTGCCCTCCCTTCCCCGGGGCCCTGTCCAGCCCAGGTGAGCGCCCGACGTGGCCCATCCATAGGAATCCTGGAACACCGAGGCACTGGAGAGCTTTTCCCGGGATAATCCCAGGAAGGTGGGACTGTAACGCTTTTTCTCTGGCCTGGCACCAGCCCCAGCACTGTTAAAACGAAAGGTCCCAGGGTCAGGATGAGCACACGGAGTGGTTCCCAAACCCAGAATGTCCCCCGGACTCTGGCCAGCACGGGGGTCCTGCCGTGGGTGCTCACGTCCTTTCACCCCACGGCTCCTGGCCCTCGGTGCCACCCAAATCCATCACAGCGTCACCCGCGCTCGTGTCACCACCTGATGCCGATGCAGAGACCGGTGCTGGTGGCAGAGGCGACGCCAATTCCCGCAGTGGTGCCGGTGGCAGTGCCGGTGCACCGGTGCCACTGAGGGTGCCGGTGCCAGTCCCCACGGCCGTGGAGGAGCCCCTGCCGATGCCAGCGGACTGTGGCGGTGCGGGCGGCAGAGCGGCCGGTGCCGGTGTGGGTGCTGGTGCCGGCCCGGTGGCGGTGCCGGGGCCGCGCCGGTGGCGGAGCCGCTGCCGGTGCCGGTAGGCGGCAGTGCTCGGCGCTCCGCGCTGCCGCCGCTCCCCGCCCGCTGCCGCCCAGCCCGGAGGAGGCGGATGCGATTCCCCGGCTGCCCGTGGCTGCTCGGCGGGGCGGCGGGGCCCGGCCCGTGCGCAGGCACCGACAGCGGCCCCGGCCCCGCTCCCGGCCCCGCTCCCGGCCCGGCCCCGCTCCGCGCTCGCCGCCGCCGCCGCCCGGCCCCAACCCCAGCCCCAGTCCCGGCCGCGGCCGCCGGGGCCCGGCCCAGCTCCGCGGGGCCATGGCCGAGTGGGCGCCCGCCCAGGTAAGCGCGGCCCGGGGCACCGGCACCGGCCACCGGCCGCAGGCGGAGCCGCCCCGCCCGCCCCGCTCCCGCCGCCGCCCGGCCCGGCCCGCGCGCCCCGGCCGGGACCCTCCGGCACCGCCAGCCCGCGGGGCCCCGCCGCCCCCGGGCACCAGAGCCGCGCTGCCCCGGGGTTGTGGCTGAGCAGCCCTGCCCCGGGATGTCCCTGCGTCCCCGGGATGCGCCGGGCAGCGCCGAGCCGGGATGTCCACGTGCCCTCGGGATGCCCCGGGGTGCCCCGGGATGTCCCCAGAGACGCGACCCGCGGTGGCCCCAGCGCTCCCGGGATGCCCGTGTGTTCCCAGCGTGTCCCCAGGCACCTCTGCCCCGGGAGAGCTCCGTGCCCCCGGGATGCCCCGGGATGCTCCGAGCAGGCTTCAGCCCAGGCATGCCCCAGGCACCTTTGTCCTGGCATGTCCCTTTATGTCCCCAAGGTGTCCCTGGACACCCCTGGTCCACACTTGCCCTGGCTGCTCCCTGCCCACCCAGCCCCATCCTCCTCCTGGCCCGGGCAGAACCAGGAATGGCTCCCAAGGGATTGGGGTGACAAGTTGGGAGGGGGTCACCATGGTGACCTGCCTAGTTCTGGCAGGCGTTCCCCGGGGACAGGGATGGGCACTGACCCCACGGCCACCCTGGACTGCCACTCCCTGTCCCCTCAGGCCAGTGGGCATCGCACACAGGGGTCCCCTGCAGTTCTGGGGCTGCTGGTGGCCAAAAGCCCTGGAAATGGGGAACAGAGGCTCCAGGGGGTGACCGTGGGCCTCCTCCCACGCGTGCCCTCGCCGTGGCCCAGGTGCAGGAGTGGAACATGGAGGCCCCTCACCTGATGCCGCTGCAGCCGCCGCTGCTGCCAGAGCGGGCGCACGTGCGGGAGGCGCAGCTCCACTCCGCCGAGGCCTCGCTCTGGACCGTGGTGGCCACGGTGCAGGCCATGGAGAGGAAGATCGACCTCCTGGCCACCCGCCTGCTCAGCCTGGAGGGCCGCTCCGGCACGGCCGAGAAGAAGCTCCTGGACTGCGAGAAGACTGCCATGGAATTCGGGAACCAGCTGGAGAGCAAGTGGGCCGTGCTGGGCACCCTCATCCAGGAGTACGGGCTGCTCCAGCGGCGCCTGGAGAACGTGGAGAACCTCCTGAAGAACAGGAACTTCTGGGTGCTGCGGCTGCCCCCCGGCCCCCGGGGCGAGGTCCCCAAGGTAGAGTGTCCCTGGGGGCTGCAGGACAGTGGGGGGAACCTCGGTTTCCCTGGGCAGCGGGCACGGCTGAGCCGCGGGGTCTTGTCCCCACAGGTGCCAGTGACATTTGTTGACATCGCCGTCTACTTCTCAGCGGAGGAGTGGAAGAACCTGGAGGAGTGGCAGAAAGAGCTGTACAACAACCTGGTGAAGGAGAACTATGAGGCTTTGCTGTCCCTGGGTAAATGTCCCTTTTCCACCTCTCCTGGCAGCGTGGAGCGATGGCTGTGTCCCCTCAGTGGGACCCCAGCGTGGGTCAGTGGTGGCACTTGCTGCGTCCTGGGACCACCCATGGCAGAGGGACCACTCCATGGCTCGTGCAGTGTGTGGGGACAGGGTGACACACTGTGCCATGCCAGTGCTGCCCAGGGGACCAGAGAGGGTCCGTGTCCCCAGAACCCGAGTGTCCTCACTACCTCCAGCATGGAGGTGCCGTGGGATTCAGGCGCGTTCTCTGCCAGGAGGGACGCCAGGTCCTGGCAGCCTGGTGTGTCCCCAGAGTGTCCCCCGAAGCCTGGGTGACAGGGAGGGGGTGACAGGGAGGGCTGACATGGGTCTGTCCCTGGCAGATGGGGCCCTCTCCAGAAGCGAGGCACAGCCCCGCAGCGAGCGCGGGGACGGACCCTGTGTCCCTGAGCAGCGGGAGCTGGAGCAGAGGGAGCTGCCGCCAGACACCTGCGCGGGTGAGGCACCACGGGAGGACCCGTCCCCATTGTCCCCACTGTCCCCACTGTCCCCACCTCGCCTTCCCCCACCCTACTCACCCCAGGGACGCCCCTTCCCCAACAGTCCCATCCCTGCTGGGCCCAGTTCTCCAGCTGTGACTGGGAACTGCCATGAGTGACCCCAGAAATCCATGACTTGTGCTGGAGATCTTGGCTCTCCATCACTGGGAGATCCACGTGTCCCCTGCTGCCACCACAATGTGTCAGAGCCCACTGCCACAGTCACCCAGCCCCATCAGCCGTGGCCCTGTTGTCACCTGTCCCCAACGGGCTCTGCCACAGTCATCTGTTCCCTGGTGTCTGTCCCCAAGGGTCATCTCAGGGTCAACCATCCCCAAGGGCTGTCCCACAGCCACCTGTTCCCACAGCTCCCTGGGGGTGTTGGATGTCCATAACTGCTGTGGGATGGGGATGTCCCCTGAGGGAGTCCAGGGGTCACACCCTGCGGGGTGTGCTGGCCGTGGGTCGCACCGTGTGGCTCCATCCCGGCCCCGGCCAAGTCTCTCCTTGTGAACAGAGTCGCTGATCTCCACCTCCGACATCCTGTCCCGGATCAAGCAGGAGGTGGCGTTTGTGGGGGAGCAGCAGTTCCCGGAGGAGCGGGGGATGCCACCAGACCCCTGTGCAGGTGAGCCCGGGGCTGAGCCTGCACCCACCGGAGCCGTTCCCTCCCCGGCCTCCCGGGACCGGGCGTGGTTGAGTCCCCGTCCCTGTCCCTGTCCCTCCCTGCAGGCGCGGACGCCCTGATCACCGCGCACGACTTCTTGTCGTGGATCAAGCAGGAGGAAGAGCCCTGTGTCCGGGAGCCCTGGGAACTGCCCGAGAGGGAGATGCTGCCCCCGGGCCCTGGTCCTGGTGAGCGATCCCCCCCACCATGGGGCTGGGGTGGGGAGAGCCCCTCCCCAGGACGAGCTGTGACCTGGGGACATCCCCAGTGTCCCCGGTAGGACTGACCAGTCTCTCTGTCCCCCGCAGCCAGCGAGGGGCTGCTGGTGAAGACGGAGGAGCGGTGCCCCCACGCCGAGCCCCCCGAGGAGGTGGGCTTGCCGGGCAGCTCCGGGGAGCTGCTCTTCCCCGCCACGGGCTTCGGGACCCCCGAGGGACAGGCGGCGGTGCCAGCGGCGGTGCCTCTGCCGGCGCAGCACAGACTGGGCAAAGCTCCGGGCCCCGAGCCGGGCCCGGGGGCCGATACCGGGGGCGTCCCCGCGGCGCCGCCCGGCCCCGCCGAGGAGCGGCCGCACGGCTGCGCCGAGTGCGGGAAGAGCTTCAGCGGCAAGAAAAGCCTGCGGATCCATCAGCGCAGCCACGCGGCCGAGCGGCCCTACCCGTGCGCCGAGTGCGGCAAGAGCTTCAATTGCCACTCGGGGCTGGTGCGGCACCAGATGATCCATCGCGGCGAGCGGCCCTACAAGTGCTCCGAGTGCGGCAAGTGCTACAGCCGCAAGGAACACCTGCAGAACCACCAGCGGCTGCACACCGGGGAGCGCCCCTTCGCCTGCGCCCAGTGCGGCAAGAGCTTCATCCGCAAGCAGAACCTGCTCAAGCACCAGCGCATCCACACCGGGGAGCGCCCGTACCAGTGCCCCGCCTGCGGCCGCAGCTTCCGCTACAAGGAATCGCTCAAGGATCACCAGCGGGTCCACGGAGCCGAGGCGGGGCCGCCGCCGCTGCCCCCGCCCGGGATCCTCCCCCCCGGGGATTAGGGGCCGCCCCGCCGCGGACTGGCACCTCCCGGGACGGGGACAGCCACCGGCCACGCAGCTTCCGACCAAATCGAGGTGCCCGGCCGGGGCGGGGGGCACGCGGGGAGCCCCGGTTGGGGGACGAGCCCCCAGGTCCCCCGCCACGGACGGACGCTTCACCCCCCAGCGCTCCCCCCACGGACAATGTCGCCGCACGGGGTGGGGGGCAGCCCCCTCGCCGTGTCCCCCCGCGCCACCCCCCGCCTGCCGCTCTGTCCCCTCGCCCCCGCTGCTTATTTTTACTGCCCCCCTCCCCGCGCCGTCCCGCTGTACAGTGCTTGGGGTGTAGTTTTGTATGGACGAAGCGATACGGAATAAAGTCGTGCTGGGCTGCAGAGCCGTCAGCACCCCCGCCGTGGGTCCCCCGTGCTCTGCGGCCGCGCTCCCGCCCCCTCCCCGGGGCCCTGCGCTGCGGGAAGGCAGCGGCAGCAGCCTGGGAAAGTGGGAATGTCGTGGTGGGACACGGGGTAGCGCTGTGGGTCCGGGGGTGTGGGAGCTCAGGAGGTCCCTGTGTCACTGGCTGAGGTGGCCTCATGCCACCACTCCTGTCACTGACCCATCCCTGGGTCCTTCCTGTCCCCTGTCCTTGACCCATCCCCGGCTCCCTCCGACCCCTGATTTGGGGATAGGAGTTATTTCACACCACTTTTTCCCCACAGCCATGTGAATCCAGAGCCCTTCCTTAGGCACCCCAGGGTCCCCAAGCTGGCTGTCACCATCCTCCTGGGAGGCCACGACCAGAGCTGGGTGACCGTACAAATGCCACAGCTCCTGCTGCCCCACTGTCCCCTCCCTGGGGGCTGCACCCTCCTATCCCAGCCCAGCCGGGGGGGCAGGAGCTGCCACCGAGCAGGACGTGGCTGTCAGGGAGCCCCGGATGCTGGGGGGCTGGACGAGGGGACAGGGGACACAGCACAGAGGGTTCAGTGGTGCTGTCACCCTGATGTGTGCTGGCGATGGAGGGGGAGACAGAGGGTGCAGTGCTGGGGTGCTCTGGGGACCCTGCACCTGCCATGGGGACCTCGGGCATTCCCTGGGGACCCTGCACCTGCCATGGGGACCCCAAATGCTGCTGGGACCTTGGACACCTCCTGGGAATCCTGCACACACCCTGGGGACACTGCACGATGTTTGGGGATCCTGCATGATGCCAGGGACCCTCCACACACCCTGGGGACACTGGACACTGCAGGGGACACTCCCTCGGGACACTCCTGGAACCTGTCAGGCTGCCTGAGCCCTGCACATTCCTGGGGATGCTCGAACTCGCTGGGGACACTGCACACTGCCTGGGGACCCCAAACACTTTCAGGTAGGGGACCCAAGACGTGCACGCCCTCACCCCTCTCCAGATCTGCCGGTTCCAAGCCTGGACAGCACAGCTCCTGCTCCCCAGCCCTGATCCCGGGGCGCTGGGCTGCCCCAAAGGAATGGGGTGAAGCTCGTTTGTCCCATGGCCTTGTCCCTGTTCAAGGCTGCAGAGCCACGGGCCAAACGACCCCCTTGGCCCAGCTCCCGCCCCCACACAGAGATCACACACAAAACCATAACTTCTGGGGTTTTTTGGAGGTGTTTTTTTTTTTTAACAGAAGTTTTATGGTTATATGCAAATTAGATCATTAAATGATTTGCATAAAATGTTCGCACGTCAGCGACTAAGTGTTTCTAACTCCCACCCCCCGACAGGTAGTAAATCCTACTGGACTAGCGCCGTCACGCCGTGCTGTCACACGCGTCCCCCGCGGGCACGGCAGCGTCACCTCGGGGTGCTCCCGCGCTTCACACGCGCGGGGACACGCGGGGACACGCGGGGACACCTGCCCGGAGCGCTCTGAGCCCGCGGCAGGTGGGGCCAGCGCCGGCACCCGCATCCTCTGTCCCTTCCCGCGGGGATCCGTCGGGTGCCGCCCGCCTCACCGCACACCGTCCCCCCGGGGCGGCCGCGGGCACTCCGTGTCCGTGGCGGAGCGGCTCCCGCCCGTCCCTAGCTGTTGGTGAGGAAGAGGCGTCTGTGTCGGGAAGCGGAGCCGCGCGGCCGCCCGCGGCGCCGGCCCCGGCCGCGGTTGCCGAAGGGGCTCCGGCTGGGCACGGCGGCGTCAGCCCAGCCGGCGCTCCCGGCCGGCGGCTCGGGGAAGCCGGGCTCGGCTTTGGGCTGCTCGAGGAGCGGGCTGGGGTCGCGGCGGGGCTCGGGGGGCGGCGGGGCCGGGCTCTGGCGGGCGCCGGCGCGCTCCTGGCGCAGGTAGCGCAGCTCGTCGCGGATGTCCGTGAGGACGCCGAGCAGGCGGAACTGCAGCTCCCGGTCGCGCGCCCGCTCCTCGCGCTGGGTGGCCCGTTCCTCCTGCCACATGGCCAGCTCCTGGTGGTACAGCTGGTCCCACTGCTCCTCCAGGTCGAGCAGGTGATGGATGCTAGTCCTCCAGCTCTCGCGGCGGTCCTCGCGCAGGCGGGAGCAGCCCAGCCCGCGGCCGGGGCCGGCGGAGGCCGGAGCGTCTCCCGGCGGGGAGGCCGAGGAGGGCAGCGATTCCTCGGTCAGGGCGCCGTGCAGCGGGGAGCGGGCCGGGGGCTCCTCCTCCGCCGGAGCCTTCTCCCAGGTGGGCCCCATCAGTACCCTGGGCAAGGCGCCCATCTCCGGGCCCGGGCCCCCCGCCTGCTCCTCGGGATGTGCCGAGTCGAGGCCGCGGCCCAGGGCGGGCAGGTCGGACACCCCCTCGTGCCCCCAGTCCGAGTGAGCGTCCGCGGGGTTCAGAGAGTCCTCGGGCAGGGAAGTGACGGAGCCCTGGGAGCTGCACCGGCGGATCAGCATGGCCTGGCGGGACAGCTTCATGTCCTCCTCCGCTGCCATGGGGGCCTCGGGCCCCGGCTGCATCCCCGCGGCCCCACCGTGGCCCCTCTCCACCTCCCGGCCTTCCCGTTCCTCCTCCTCGGACATGGAGGCGTAGGAGACCAGGGACTCGTTTCGCAGGGATGGGGAGATGGCCGACGCGTCTGGAGTGCGCAGCTCCTGTCCCGACTCGGCTGGGAGAGAAGAGAAACCTTCGGTGAGCCACAGCACTGCCCTGGCCCCGGGGCCTCCCAGCACATGGATCCCAGTGGATCCCCATCCTGACCCAGCAGATCCCCATCCTGACCCAGTGGATCTCCATCCTGAGTCAGAGGATCTCCATCCTGACCCAGCAGATCTCCAACCTGACCCAGCGGATCTCCATCCTGAGTCAAAGGATCTCCATCCTAACTCCACTCCCAGCAAGTCCCCATCCAGAACCCAACTGCCACCGGATCTTCAACCAAACCCTGCTGCCAGAGGACCTCCATCCAGACCCCACACTTCCCCATCCTGACCCACTGGATCTCCATCCAAGGCCCGCTCCCAGTGGATTTCCATCCAGACCCAGTTCCCAGCCAGTCTCCCTCCCAGCCCATCTCCATCCCAGCCCGTGCTGGTCCCGCCGTACCGGAGCCGCCCTGCCCCTCTCCTCGGCCGTACTCGCAGCCTCCGGCGGGGTCGGGGCTCTGTCCCGGCAGGCGCGGCACGGCCGAGCCCTCCACGTCGGGCAGGGCCGAGGGCTGCCCGTTGGTGTCGATGTAGATGCTGGGGTGGCTCACGCCGGGCTGCAGGTGCATGAAGGGCTGCTTGGACGCTCCAGGGAAGAACAGATCTGTGGGACACGCAGGATGCGGCCTCAGCTGACAGGGACACGGCGACCCCATCGCTCTGCCTCACACGCCCCAACAGCACCCTGAGCCCCCGGGGGGCTGACACCTCCCAGTGCCAGGGAATCATGGGGATGGGGAATAACCTGAGCTGGGAGGGACCCACAGGGATCACTGATCCAGCTCCTGGCCCTGCACCCCAACAATCCCAGCCTGTGCATCCCTCAGGGATGTCCTGGAGCTGTGCCCATTCCCTGGGGAGTCTGGGCAGTGCCTCAGCAGCATCTGGGGAAGAACCTTTCCCTGATTTCCAGCCTGACCCTCCCCTGGCACAGCTTCATGCCATCACACAGGATTTGTTCCTTCAGCCTAGAGCCCCGTGCTTGGCACACGACTGGCGCCTGAATCAGAGAGAGCCGACTCTGGGCCACTTGGACTGAGCCTATGACGCCCCCCCAGAGAAACCAGACAGGCCACTTTGGGATCAAACAGCATCAAATCAAAGAAAAGAGGAAAAAACAACAAAAAAGACCCACTCCTGCAAAGCTTGAGGTGTTCCTACCAATCCTGTTATCTGGCACAGTTTTCCCAGAGCAGCTGTGGCTGCCCCTGGATCCCTGGCAGTGCCCAAGGCCAGGCTGGACAGGGTTTGGAGCACCTGGGACAGTGGGAGATGTCCCTGCTATGGCAGGGGTGGAACAGGATAAGCTTTAAGATCCCTTCCAATTCAAACCACTCTGGGCTTTCTACAATTCCCTGATCCCAGGTTATTCCCGCGGAGGATTTCTAACCCCAGCACACGCAGTTCCCTACCCCGGAGGGTGACACTTGGGCACAACGGGACCGCGGCTCTGGCGGACGCCGCAATCCCAACACAAACCCCGGAGTCTCATTCCACAATCCACAACAGCCAGCTCAGAACGCCAGCGTGACCGGACATCCCTCGGGGAGTGCTCCACCACCACTGACCTGGGTCCAGGATGATCTCGGGCTCCGAGTCGTGGCTGGCCTGCAGGAAGGTGGAAGCCACCATCTTCTCCAGGGGCGTGAGGCGAGGCTTGTGGAGCGGCCCCCCGGCGCGGTTCATGGGCAGGTGCTTCTTGGAGGTGATTTTCTTCTTGACGTCCAGCCGCAGGTCGCGCCACTTGTGCTTGAGGTCGTCGATGGAGCGCTCGGTGTAGCCCAGGAAGTTGACACGGCTTTGGATTTGGGTCCAGAGCTGCTTCCGCCGCACGGGGTGAGCCCGCAGGGCCTCGGACCCGTACAGGGCGCTGAAATGCCGGACCACATTCCAGACCAGCGTCTCGGTCTCGTCATTGGAGAAGTTGGCCTTCCTCTTCCGGCCAGACGCTGGCATCGCCTGCGAGGCTGCGGCAGAGGTGGAAGGGGCACAATTGAACCTCGGTCCCCACTCCTCTCTGTCAGCTCCTGGGGGGAACATGGGGCTGCGGGAGCCCGAGGGAGCCGCGGAGGAGGGAGCCGAAGCAAGAGCCCCGGAGGCATCCATGGCAGGGGAGGCTTGGGCCGGGGAGGATCTAAAGAGCCGCTTCGGCACAGCACGCGGCACGGGCGCACCGCATCGCCTCGCCCGGCTCGAGGGCACCTGGGAGGGGAGAAAAGGAAAGGGCAGCGGTGGCTGGTGGCAGCGCGGGGGGACGGCGAGGGCCCCCCGGCTCTCTCCAGCCAGAGGCACCCGGGAGCCCCCAGGCAGCGGCCACGGGAGGGGCCGTGGGGAACGGCACCGCAGGGTCCCGGTGCTGCCTGAGGGTGCCGAGGAGCGCCTCAGGGCTAGGCTGAGGGTGATGGGGCTCCTCAAGGCCACGGCAAGGGGCTCACGGCAACGCTGGCCACGATGGGGAAAGTTTTGGGTGTGATGAGCACTTCAGGTTCCCAGCCAGGGCCTCAGGGCCACGGCGCTGACCATGACCTGAAGGACAGTTCCACGGCCCTTGGCCACGGTGAGCACCTCAAGGCCATGGCAAAGACCCTGGCCTAGAGGCAGGCCTCAGCAAGGATCTTGGCCGTGGTGAGAACATCAAGAGCCCAGCGAGCGCCTCGAGCTCCCACTGAGGATCTTGGGGTCATGGTGAAAGCCACGGCCACAGTGAGAGCCCCAAGGCCATGGCAAAGGCATCATAGAAGGCCTCAGCCACGGTGAGCAGCTCAAGATTGCAGCGACACCCTGGCACCAGGACAGTGACCAAGGCCATGGCACGTGCTGCAAGGCCATAATGAAGACCTTGGCGAAGGCCTTGGCCATGATGAGCACCTGAAGAGCCCAGAGAGGACCTCGCCACCACAGAGAAGACCTTGACTACGGTGAGCAGCCCAAGCTCCCGGCGAGGACCTTGCGGATGCAGCAAAGACCTCGGCCACGGTGCACACCTGGGGCTCCCAGTGAGCACCCCGGGGCCACGGCAAAGACCTCGGCCATGCTAAACACCGTGACCACGGCGACCACCCCAAACTGCTTGTGAGGGACTTGGGACCACGTCAAAAAAACCTGGCCGTAGCAAGAGCTCCGAGGCCACGGTGAAGCCCTTGGCCACGGCGCACACCTGCACCAGGTGTGCACACCTCAAACTCCCACGAGGACCACGGGACCACAGTACAGACCACGGCGCCGACCCCAACCTCCCATCGCGCCCTCAACCCCCAGCAAGCCCCAGGAGCAGCGCACCAGCCTCGCTGGGAGCCCGCAGCCCCGAGGTGTCTCTGCCGCCCCGAGCCTGCCCCGAGCCCCCTCCCCATCCTCGGGGCCCCCGGGCAGCGCCCACACCCGCGGCCTCGGGGCGCCGGCTGCGGGTCCCGGGGGGGCTGCGCGCTGCCCTCCCCCGGCTTTGTTCGCGCTCCTGTGACCGGGGACAAAGCGGCCGGGCCGGGGCCTGCCCCGCGGACCCCCCCCCATTCGGGATCCCGCTGCGGGCGGGTGCCCGGGGCAGGCACCGGGCGCGGCCCCGCGGCTCCCCCCGGCCCGCCGGCCCCTCCCGGCCCCGGGGCAGCGCTTACCTGCGCCGGGAGGGGCGTGCGGGGCGCGGGGGGCGCGGAGCGGGGCCCCGGCGGCGGCGGGAGGGGGGGCTCAGGTCCGGCGGCGGGTAATGGCTCCCGCCTCGGCGGAACTCGCCTTCATTTCCTCCGAGCGCCGGCGCGGGCCCTGCGCGACACCGCCCGCGGGCCCCCCCTGGCGGCACCGCCGCGAACCGGCGGGGGCGGCACCGCGCACCGCAACTTCCCAAAGCGGGAGGGACAGCGGGAGGGACAGCGGGAGGGACAGCCCTCCCCACCGGGACGGGACAACCCACCGGGACAGCCCTCCCCACCGGGACGGGACAACCCACCGGGACAGCCCTCCCCACCGGGACGGGACAACCCACCGGGACATCCTACCGGGATATCCTACCGGAACGGGACAGCCCACCGGCACATCTCACTGGAACATCCCACCAGAACGGGACATCCCACCGGGACGGGACAGCCCACCGGAACAGCCTAGCGGGACATCTCACTGGGACATCCCACCAGAACGGGACATCCCACCGGGACAGCCCACCGGGACGGGACAGCCCACCGGGACAGGACAGCCCTGCATTCCGTCCCGAGGGGACGGCGGCTGTCGCTGTACACTGCAGCTGTATCCCCGTGGGGCTCCCCGGGGTTATAATCCCACAGCTGTATCCCACTCCCGAGGATGCTGCGGGTGCCCCCGTGGGGATCCCGTTATGCCCCCCATCTCCACACCCTCGTGAAGGTGAATCCCACGGGGGTCCCACCCCGTGCTCACCATGTACCCCCGTGACGGTGTGTCCCCGTGGGGAGCCCCCAGTGCCTCCCGGGTCCCTGCGTCCCCCCACTTCCCCAGCCGTGCTTGTGCATCCCTGTGGGGGTCCCTCCTGCTGAACCTCGTGCCTGCATCTCCTGCATTTCCCCTCCTCCCGTGGGTGCTTCGTGCCCACCCCTGACCATGTATCCACGCGGGGATCCCTCTGTGGCCTCCATCCCTGGAGCTCCGTGCCTGTGGGGATGTCTCTGTCCCTGCCTGGTGGCCTCCAGCTGGCCCTGACTGTAGACAGAGGGTCATCCCCATACCCCACCCCGCCTCAGGGACCCCAGTGTGGGGCACAGTGCACACGGGGGGCTGTGCAGGGGACCCCAGGATGTCACCAAGGCTGGCACAGGCAGGACAGGGTGCTCAGCCAGGTCCTCACTGCCCGCAGGTGCTGCCATGGCCATACCCGGAGTGGGGATGGCACAGCTCGGGGTGGCTGTGGGAGCCACGGTGTCCCCAAGATGGGGAGGGAGGATTTGGGGTGACCCCACTGCTCTCAGCAACCCCGGAGAGCTCTGCCCCGCTCACAGCACAAATGACAGTAGAATAAAACCACCCGTGCTCCGCTTTGCTGAATTCCAGCTTTTTAATGCCTGTAACAATCCTCTGGGCACCAGGTGGTGACAGCAGCCGGTGGCACCCGATTCCCCCATGGGGAGGAGCTGCTGTCCCCGGCACCACCCGCATCCCCCCCTGGCAGTCACAACCACCCCACTCAGGGCAAACCCCCACCGGCAACAGCTCCACATCGATTCCTGCTGGCTGCAGCAGCCACCCTCTGGGAGAAGGTTCTGGTTTGTGTCCCCAGCACTGCCACCGCCCCATGGGTGACACCCAGAGCGTGGCGGCTCCACGGTCCCCACGCGCGGTGATCCCACGGGGCCATACAGACCCACGGCAAAGCCCACGGCACAAGTGCAGGGAACAGCGGCCGGGCCGGGCCGGGGACGGCCCCAATGAGCACCGGCCCTTCGAGCGGCTCCGGGCCCGCACAGCCGCCCGCTCACTGCTTGGGAGGGGCGTCCCCGAGGGGGGCTCGCCCCGCGCTGGCCGACACCACGTGCACCGCGTCCTCCAGCTCGTAGAAGGCCTGGAAGAGGTCCGGAGAGGTGGCCTGGCACTCCAGGTACCGCCGCAGCGTAGCCAGGCTCCTCCAGACCTCCCGCTCCGAGGGGCAGGGCGGCACGGCCGCCAGCTCGCCCGCGTCCTCGCTCTGTGCCGTGCCCTCGTCCCCGTCCGCCTCCACCGCGTCCCCGTCGCGCTGCAGCTGCTGCCGGCCGAGCAAGCCGGGTGCCGAGGTGAGGGACACGGCCTCGGCGCTGGCGTCGGGGGTGAAGCCGGCGGCGCGGAAGCAGCTGGCGATGAGCCCCGGGTGAACGTCGCCCCAGGCTTGCGCCAGCATGTGCAGCACATCCAGCAGGCTGGGCTGCCCCGCGCCGCGCTCCGCCGGCAGCCACCGCAGCAACCGGCGCCGGTAGTGACCCTTGAGGTCGCCGGCGATGCCGCGGTCCAGGGGCTGGGCCAGGGCGGTGGCCGGCGGGACGAAGACCATCCTGACGTTGGACAGCTGGAGGTAGGGGTGCGCCTCGTGCTTGGCCAGGAGGAGCAGGACGCTCTTGCCCTGCCGCCGCATCCCCTCGTTGAACTCCCGCAGCCACTCGGCGAAGAGCGGGGCGGTCAGGCCGGCCAGGCTGCCGGCGCGGTAGCTCCAGGGCATCTGCTCCAGGTTGACGCCCCGCAGGCAGCGTGGCCGGGGGCTGTCCCCCACCGCCCGCAGCGGCACCTTCTCCGAGCCGCTGGCGTTGGCGCAGAGCAGCAGCGTCAGCCGCTCGCCGGGGCTCTCGCCCTTGCCGGGGTCACCGGCCGGGAGCGGCACCGCGGTTTCCCCGCAGGCGAAGATCTCGGCGGGGGCGTAGCTGCGGAGGAGCCCGGGCAGCACCGCGCCGGCCCAGTGCTCCACCGTGGGCTGCTCCGCGTCCCCTTTCTCCGCCGGTGGCTTCTTGCCGGCGAGGCCGTGGCGAGCGCCCAGGCGAGCCAGCCAGCCACCGCCGGGCTCGGTCTCGGACCGGACCAGGTGCCTGGCCCTGAGCTGCAGCAGCGGGCGGCCCACGGGAAGATCGGCGGAGCGGGCACCCTCCACCCAGCGCAGCAGCGCGGCCTCCAGCGCCGCGTCCTTGCCCTCCCGCTTGCGCTTGCGCTCGGGGTCGCCGTTGCGGTGCCACTCGCTCAGGATGCGCTCCCTGTTCTTGATGATGCGGCAGATCTGGGGCTGCGACACCCCGAAGCGCTTGGCCAGCTCGCTCTGCGACACCTTGGGACCCTCCAGCATCTCCAGCACGCGCACCTTCTCGGTCAGCGACAGCTCCTTCCGCTCCTTCCGTGGCGCTGCCGTCGCTCCCTCCACCGCGCCCGGGGAGCGCCCGGTGCAGGGGCCCGGCCGGTGGGGGCTGCCCGTGGCCCCCAGCCCCCCCGGTTCGGCGAGGCCTCTCCCGCAGCGGCCGCAGGCGTAGCCGAGCTCCGTGCCGTGCCCCAGCCGGTGCCGCACCAGGTCCGGCTTCTGCCCCATGCCTCGGCCGCACTCGGCACAATCCAGCGGCCGCTCCCCGGGCCGGCAGCGGCGGCTCTCGAAGGCGGGGGGTGCGGCGATGAGCCCCCCGTTACCGGCACCGGGATTCGGCTCCGGTTCGAGGACGCCGCAGTAGCTGCAGCCCCGTTCCCGCAGCGGGACGAGGAAGTCGGCGGGGCCGGTGTGGCGAGCCGGGGGGGAGCGGGCCGGTGGGGACACTCCGTCCTCGCTCTTCACCTCCCTCACCTGCCAGTCCCCTGCGGAGACAGGAACGCGTTGGGGAGCGGCCGCCTCACCGGGAATCCCCCGGGACCGAGTCCCCGGCTCGGCAGGATCCGACCCGGTGCCCGACTCCTGTTCCTGGTCCCGTCTGGCCACGATCCCGCCCGTCCCCGTGTCCCGCTCACCCTGGGAGGGGCCGGCGGGTGCCGCATGTGCCCGGGGGCTCTGGTGCTCCCCGTAAGGCCCCGCCGCTGCCCCCTCGTCCCCTCGCTCCACCTCGGCCAGGATGTCGGGTTTGGTGATGGCGTAACCTGTCACAGAGACAACAGGAGGGACGGCCGGTGATGCCACCGCCGATGCCAACGGAGATGCCACTAGTGATGGCATCGGTCACTACAGGCCGGTGTTGGCTGCCCGTGGTGATGGGTACAGGCAGCCGCTGTGGTCCCGTGGTGACCCCAGAGCCACCCCGTGACCTCCCGCTGCCGGCACCAACCCGGTGAGTGCCGGTCTCGCTCACGGCCAGGCCACGACCGGCAGTGCCAGGACCGGTTCCGGGATGGCCGCGGTACCTCACCCAGGTCGACGGGATCCTGGCGATCCTCCTTCATGGCACCGGCACCGTCCCGGTCCTCGGGAAACGCGGCGACAGCTGCTCCCGGTGCTGCTCCCGCCGAGGCCTCAGCAGCGCGACGGATGGCGCTGACCGAGCGATGCCGCGCGGGGATGACGGCGCGCGGCCGGGCGGCGGGACGCGGCGTCGGCGGTGCCCGTGGGGGCGGGGGCGGGGCCGCCGAGCCCCGGTGGGCCTCGGTGGCGATGCCGCACCTGTCCCCGTCCCCTCACGCCCGCCCGTTCCCTCCCGCCCGGCGCCGCCGCCGCCCCCGTCTCGCGCGCCCCCGCCACCGGCGGCGGGAGCGCGCGCGATGCTTGGCCCCGCCCCCTCGGCGCTCCGCCCCCTCATTGGCTGAGCCACCACCCAATGGGCGCGCGGTCCGCCCCGCCGCCGGGGGGCGCTGTGGCGCCGGGCGCCGCCGCCGCCGCTCCCAGCGCGCCCCGCGCTCTCGGCATGGCCGCTCCGCCCCGCCGCTGC